GAGCCGCTGCTTTTCTAGGACCCCGCTTGGAGGTGGGGGCTGCGGGGGGGGGTCGCGGCGGCGGCGGCGGCGCCACAGAGGTGCAGCGGAGACAAAGCCTCTTGGGGCGGCGGCAGAGGCGGCGAGGAAGCCGGTGGCTCAGGGACACGCCTGCAGCCCCCGTCGGGGCCGCCCAGGCACGTCGCTTTCCCCACCGAAAGGACCCCCCCTGAGCGGGAACTGGGGCGAGGGGGGGCGCGCCCTCGGCTTACCATGGCGGCGGCGGCGGCGGCGGCGGGGCTCGCTCGAGGGTCGAGAAATGGAACCGGCGCGAGGACGGTGCTTTCTTACAGCGCGACTCTTAGGAGGTCGATGTAAGAGAACCTGTAGCCCGTCCTCCAACGCGGCTCCCCTATATACAATCCCGTCGCCATGGGGACGGGCGAAGGCTTTTTCGGTTGGTCGAAACACCCCCAATCTGCCCGGAGAAGCCACGAGAGGAGAAAAGTGATTGGTTTAGGGCGCCTAGGATGAGGTAATCCTTCCCCCCCCCGGCACACCATCAGCGCCGCGCACACCCCTCCGCGCCTCAGCATCCCAAGTCTGCTTCCATCCTCCAGACAAAGAGAGCAAACAGAACAGTTACCCATCCATCATCACCACCACCACCAGCAGCAGCATCTTTGGGGCCCGGGCATTGGCGCTCGCGAGCGCGCAGGGTGTGGGTGTGGGTGCTGGGGGTTTGTATAAAGTAGGAGAAAGGAGAGGAGAAACGAACTTGGGAAAAGATGAAAGGGCATTTTTTAAAAAATATATATATATTTTTTCCTTCCAGGAGAAATGCCAAAGAATAGGTCAGCCCCGTCCCCGCCCGCCGCACACCCACACCCCGAATTAAACAAAAGTGACAGGGCCGCCTGACTTAAGATTCACATTTCTGCCAAGAGTCCACACCTGACAGCTGAGATTTCGTAATACTTTAGGTTTTTGAAGGGGAAAGAGAGGAAAAGAGCTGAGCGACGGAGGAGGGCTCGTTTTCATGGGGTGAGCAGCGGAGATCCAGCGAAATCGTGGCCCAGCCTAAGCTGGGAATGTCGGGCTAACCGGCGGGTGAACTTAAAAAACAAAAAACAAAAAAACCACTGCCGCATCCTGCGCGTCCTGCGCGAACGGCGTGCCCCTTAGCCCGGGATGGGGTTCCTGCCGGCCCCCAAACGTCAGGAGGGGAAAAATCGCGACAGGGGAGGAAATGTTGCCCCCCCGGGCGAACTTTGGGCGACTTCCCGGAGGTTTTCTTCGGTGGGGAGGAAAGTCCGACACGAAAGCCTTTGAAAGAAAAGGGGTGTCGCCGGGGCGGGGGAGGCGGGAGGCAACAAGGCAGCTGGGCAGCTTTGCCTCCGCGGTGGGGAGGAAGAGCGAGGAGGAGGAGGAGGAGGGCCCAATCCCACCCTGCAAAAGCCACCCAAAGCAGTTTTTAAAAATGCAAAAAGCAGCACCTTACCTCACCATGAAGCCTCCTATGAAGCCTCCCGGCCATGCTCAGCTGCACGGGCTCCACCACCGTCCTGCCCCATCTCAGAAATTGCTTCCTGGAAAGCGGTCGCGGCGTTCTTTCTGCTGCCGGGCGCCGGGATGGGAACTGGAAAGGAGAAGCCGCAAAGTATTCGAGGACGGCTTGTTTGTAGCATGGGGGTGATTAGACATCTATTCCCTCCAAATTAGGTACCAAAATCTGGTTTACATTCCTTGGCAGTGGCTCATCATTTCCTTGCTTTTCTTTCTTTCTTTCTTTCTTTCTTTCTTTCTTTCTTTCTTTCTTTCTTTCTTTCTTTCTTTCTTTCTTTCTTTCTT